AGTCAGAATTAATAAAACTACACATTCTGAAAACACTATATGCCAAGGTTTTCTTACGGAAGATTCATATACACATGAGATTAGAATAATCATTTGTTTTATATTTCCTTATTCAGGAAAATTCTTATTTTCCATTATAAAAAAAATCATGCTTTTTAGGTACTCAATAGTAATTTTGATTATTTTAGGTTTGTGTGTACTACTTTAAATATATTCAGTTGAGAAAAGGAATTCTAAAATTTAATATAAAATAAATTGTTATCTAGTGGCCATTTATTAGCATGCAAAGTCTTAGAGAACTTTTATTAAGTGTTTGCAATTTTTACATGCTGTATGTTTTTTATACTCTTTATGGTTCTACTTGAAGAACAGTGCTATGGTATTTGTGCCTATGTACACATATAAAGTGGCATTTATGGTAAATGTTACTTGTAAACTTGAATGCATTGGCAGACAAATTGAACTTTAGTTGCTTGAAAGAGAGTCTTTATGAAGCAGGTTTATGCAGAAGGATATGAAATTCCTCTGAGAATAAGAAGCAGTACAAGGAGCTCATTTTTCATCCTCTTCTATGAGTTCTTCAAACAAACTTTTTATTCAACTGGATAAAGTAAGCCTCTATTTTATTTGTACTTTCAGAGGCCACTACAGGATTGCAGATTTGGAACTATTCTAGGCAATTACCAATTAAGTCCTACTTAATAAAGCAGTATAATGTGCAAATATATATATATATATATATTTTTTTTTTTTCAGGAACTATTCTCTTAAATTCAAGTGTAAAGTACAGGCAACTACTAGCATACAATAATATAATGTTGTTTTCTATTTCTGGAAACTTTCCAAGGAAATATGTACTTGCTGACACTTTTCCATATATCGGTGTACATTATAAATGACTGTGTATCAGGGCTTACCTGAATTTGGCATATGCCCTACTACTATCAGCAATAAGGTACCTGTGTGCATCTTAGATTATGTGAAGAGCAGCTACCTGTGTTTGCTATAAAAAAAAACGAAATTCCTTCTTTGAAGTAATTATAGTACCATGCAATGTTCCTTCATTGAAATTTTGAAATTTTCTACCTTACTCCATTTAATATTTTTAAATAAATATTTTAAAACTTTAAGAAAATAGTTAAAAAGACATTCTAAATACATCACACCAGAGAAACACAGAATATTTTTAAACATTTAAAGCCTCACCTTTTCTCCCTTTGCATAATATTTCAATCAATAAAAATCAATAGTTCTAGTTAGTCTAGGCTGGCAAAGAATGTGACCCGTGTCAGTACACTTGATTTAAGGTACATATTGGAAACTACGGTTGTTTTACTGGCATCTGTCATGGTTTTAAGGTCAACTATCCTGCTGTATGTTATGAATTCTTAAACTAGTTCAAAATTATGGATTTTCCAAGAATAATATAAATATAGAGTCAATAGCAAAATTAAACTCACTTCATTGAATCAAAGTTCACCATGAAAGATGAAAGCAAATTGAATTATTTCTTAAAGGTTGTTAGAGTTGGAAAAAAAGTCTCTAACCCAACAAGAAAACAAGTATAAAAACTTACCTTTTACCTTTGGCTCCTACTTGGTGCAATGGCATGAAGCGAATGAGAATGCAGAGCCCGTGGTATTTGCCTTGACCAATGGATGTGAATTCTGGCTCTGTGGGAGGTGGAATTCATCACACTCGATTTTCTGTTTAGAAAAGCTAACCTTGAGAAATGCTTCTAGTTTTTAAAACCTCAAATTGTTTTATAGTCACCAAAATTAAGCAGTGGAATCCAAACCACATAGTATATAAAACTTTTATAATTATTTCTATTAGTAAGAACTGCCATATGCTACTTCTACTCTTTTAAATGGCAAATTTGGGTTTTATCATATTTCACCTATAACAAATGCATCAATTAAGAAATCAAATTAGTGTATTCAGTGATACCATAGGAAGGTTCTTATAGGAAATAATTTCCACAAATCTTGTATGTCTTAAATTGCTTTCTTCACTTTTCATTAATGTTAGTTAAAATTTAGTAAATGTTACAAAAACGTTGTTTGTTTAATGTTGGCTAAGTAAAAGATATCCAAATTATTTGGACCACTAGGAATGCTTTGATAGCAATGAAACAATAAACCTTTTGCATGCTTAAAAAATATGATCAGAAATACAAATATGATCTTAATGCTTTATGAGATAGGCTCTTATTTCTCTCTTATCTATTAGAGCCAAACAAATCAAGTTACTTTTTTTTTTTTTCTCTCTTAGAATACAAGATTTATTGTAGACTCTTGGTACCTGACAGTCTGTGAAATTAGGTTTTATTATAGGTAGGGAGAGAAAAAATACAGTTATTAAATTCTCGTTCCCCACTTTTACACTACAATAGTTCTACAAAAAGATAAATCCTGTGTCGTATATTCTGGTAGGCTTTACATAAATCTGGGAGTCAGGCTTCCACTTGTGCATAAGTGTAAGGAGTTTTTCCTCCAAGACCAGATGTAAATGTTGTTATTGTTAGTTGCTGTCAAGTAGATTGCTACTCATAGCAACCCTGTATGGGTATGACAGAGTAGAACTGTCCCATACGATTTCTTATAGGGCTGATATTGTTTTTGTTGTTGTTAGGTGTAGACTCATAGAGTCCTTAAGCACAACACAATGAAACACTGCCTGCTTCTGTACCAACCTCACAACCATTGCTACACTAGAGCCCATCGCTGCTGTCCTGTGCCAAGCCATCTCATTGGGGGACCTTCCTCTTTTTCGCTGAAACTCCACTTTACCATGCATAATGTCCTTCTCCAGGAACTGTTCCGTCTTGACAATATGTACGAAGTATGAGAGATTAAGTCTGGCTATTCTGACTTCTAAGGAACATTCAGGCTGTATTCCTTCCAACACAGATTTGTTTGTTCCTTTGGTAGCCCATGGTATTTTTAATATTCTCCTCTAACACCATAACTCAAATGCATAATTCTTATTTTTTTAAATGTTTTATTGTGAATTATGAGATAGTTTACCTGGGAGAACAGTAGCTTTACATTCCTCCCATTGTATATTGTTATATTTCCACGGTTACAATCCCCTCCATGTATTATCAACCAACCACAAGGTACACCACACAAGCCTGCTCCCTGGCCATCAACACACAGTACCTCTCCCTCTCTGGATCTAGAGTTCTCAGCCACTCCATCTCTCCATGTCATTGTCTCTACCTCCATCTCTGGCATCACTGTTTGTCTGGGTAGGGTCCTGCACTACACTCTCCTGCCTTGATGGTCCCAGGGACTTTCACTCCTGGACTGCAAAGTCAACCACTCCCCTCCTTTTACTACAAAATCCCTACCTTTACATTTCCAACCCTCACAGTCAGTCCTGATAGTGATTATTCACTATTGTACCACATGAGTGCTATCCCCATTTTCTTTAATCAGTCCCGCCCAGACAGATTGGATACTACTCAGTAGAGATTCTACCTCCCTCCATGCCCTCTGGATCTAGGGTCCCCCTTGAAAGGCTGTAAGTCAGTCACTTCTTGCCTTTGTAGCTCCCCCACCCCTGTTTTGCCACCACTTGTCTGTCAGTTTGTCATACTGTGGTGGCTTGTGAATTGCTGTGATTCTGAAAGCTATGCCACTGGCATTTTAAATACAAGCAGGGTCATCCATGGTGGACAGGTTTCACATGACCTTCCAGATGAAGACAGACTAGGAAGAAGGAATGATGAACTACTTCTACCAAATCTTTAGTCACTGAGAATCTTATGAATAGCAGAGAAACACTGTCCCGTATAGTGCCAGGAAATGAGCCCTTCAGGTTGGAAGGCACTCAAAATGAGACTGGGGAAGAGCTGCCTCCTCAGAGTAGACTTGACTATGATGATGCGAATGGAGTAAAGTCCAGGAGAAAAGCCCATGGGACTTTAATTTGCTGATGGGACACAACTCAAAATGAAGAGAAACAGCTATGAATATCCATTGAAAATCGTAACATGGAATGTACAAAGTATGAATCTGGGAAAATTGGAAGTTGTCAAAAATGAAATGGAATGCATAAATATTGATATCTTAGGTATTAGTGAGCTGAAATGGACTGGTATTGCCATTTTGAATCTGATGACCACATCGTTTATTCTGCCAGGAATGAAAAATTGAAGAGGAATGGTATTGGAAATGAATAAATCATTGATTTTGCCGAATTCTATCATATGATCTTCAGCATCATTTCTATCACCAAGACCATATTTTCCAATTACTGATCCTTCCTCTTTGCTCCCAACCTTTGCATTCCAATCACCACTAATGATCAATACATCTTGATTGCATGTTTGATCAATTTCAGATTGAAGACGTTGGTAGAATTCTATTTCATCCACACTGGTGATTGGAATGCAATGGCTCATATTTCTTGTGGGTAAATACCAAGAATTACTGGATCATAAGATATTTCTATTTACAACCTTCTGAGGAAGC